ACTGACAGGCCGTATAAGAGTGGCATGAGTTGCAGTGAATGTCCCAATGGATTCGCCTGCGAACGCAAGCAGTGCTTCAATAAGCCATCACCAGTAACGCAGTCGCCTTTGCCGACCACTCCCATTTACACGATACTTTCGCAAGCAACAAACCCTCATTTACCTATGACTGATGTTTCCACAAAATCTTCTTTTGCAGCCACCGTTAGTTCTGCGAACCCGCCTACACCAAGCACTTCAATTTCTAGTCTAGATTTTCCAGTCGTGGTCATGGATATGCTTGCTTTCGGTCTCTGTCTTCTTGGATAGGACTTCAAACTCGGCTACTTATTTCCCAACTCCTATCATTCTTATGTTAAACAATTGTAACTTCAAAATCTTGATTTTGAATTGCAGCAAAATATATAAATTTACCCACTATATATCAATATCATCAAGTCTCATTGATTCACAATTGTTCAAACTAGCAGTAGTTGATCGTGCATGGCATTGCCCCTCTTTTACGAAATATTGAATCTTGCGTCACGACCGAATGTTTATATCAAAGTCATGCAAATTCATTTCCTGACATATTCAATGAAATGTGGGATAACACGACGAGCACAACCTGTGAAGTAAATAAAGTAAATTTTTGCCTGATGCTTGTGGACAATGTTGCTGTTTTAGACAATATATTTATTTGATATGGATTTGGATGCTGCAACACAACCATCTATTTGACTTGTTTACATGAATATTTCTATATTTTGAGGTCTATCTAAATGCAATCTGCTGCGCTTTGTCAAATACTAATAATCAAGGACCAATGAATACCTAAACTGACCAAAATTGACTTAACATTGCACCCGAAATATACTACGGTGGATTTCATTGCCACGCACTATCCCACCTCATATCGTCATTCACGTCCTTCCTTTTTTAAATTTAGGAACACTTAAACTGAAATAATCCGCAGTTAGACGCACATGGCCGGCATATCTGTGAGGAGTCGCTGCAGCATTTAATACTGTGTAACATCAAGCAAAGATCAAGTGTAAACGCTAACGTGACGGAGATGTCAGCGCGTGTCAGAATTTTAGCACTTATCAATAGTAATAATAGGTATAATATGAGCACATCATGGCGGAGAGTAGACAAGGTAGGTGGTACGAGAATAACAATGGACTAGCTCACAACTTATGTGAATTACTTCCGATATAAAAAACCTCTTTTCTAATACAATTAAATTTTTATTTCCACAATGAATGTAATCTGTGCTATAGATCAGCATTGCGGTTCGCCGTAAATTTCACAATAATGAATCTAATCGCTATGTGCATTTGTTTCTTGTCTGGGCAATTTGATTTAAAGGTCATCTAAATGAGGATCACATCTGTATGAAACTCTCTACATCCTTCGTCTCAAGGTCATCCAAGTATTATTTGGACTGTCTATTTTATTAAAACAGTTGGTCTTTTACTAAGACAGTAACTGCTCTCTGTGAGTCCAGGAAGTTGCGTCAGAAGTGCAGCAAAACTAGAACACTGTTAAATCTTCTCAATGAAATTTTAATCCCTAACAAGCATGCCTCCGTAGTGAGTGTGTGCAGCCTGCTAACCCCGTCCGTTTTAACGCTAACACCTCAAGTGAATTCTGCAAGTAAGAGGGTATTGCACCAGGACAATTGAACTCGTGATTGGTGCAACTACTGAGGAATCATCAGTTAGCATGAACCAATCCATTTCCATGGATCGTCGTGTGATTAAGCAATACGTTGACACTTAGGGCTACTCGTTTACAACGCGTTGCCAAATCGCAATTTTCCATTAGAGCATTCTGCATGTCAAATTGTCAACTAAAGCAATTAAAATTGCTTTTGGTTCCGAGAATTGCTCTAGGAAAGTTAGACAAGGCCACGTTAATGCACTTTTTAATGCGCTATTTACATACATCCGCTTGCATTGAGCGGATGCATCAGTGTAGACAACTTTCATTCTGATACTGTCAATACTATACCCATTTGAGTCAGTGTATCTGCGGTGACATATAAGTTTGAGAAATGCTCAAACTGAATGCAAATTAAGGGATTAGACGAAAAAGTAGGCACAATGGGCCACTCCTACTCACCAAACATTAGTAGTTGCAATTCTTGTGCGAAGCTTGTGTGTGACGTCATTGTTTTGCAAATCCCAAAGTAAAGCTATCAATTAGTGCTGAATTAGGCTATACACAGTTAGATTCACATGTACATATTTGTCATCGCACTACAGTTTCTAGTTATTGCAATATGCCATGCTAATTGAAGTTGCGAAACCAAATTTGACGCCATAAACACGCGTACGTTTAGCAATCGTGTAATGCGAAACAATCAAGACCATGGAACAGCGGCTTAACATAGATTAGTAACAAAAGAATGGTAGTGAGATGAAGTGAGGGCGACTAGGTGCAACATATCATCTTCGACGTTCAGGCTTGCTAAGTTAACAAATTGTTATACCTTGCAGCGTACGAACGCAGAACACCAGCTGCAGGACCTCAGCTAGTTGGTTAAAAAAACCGAAAAAAGGTCACAATCGTAGACATGCGTCAAATTATCGTCGATCGACAGAGCTCACTAAATGCCACGAGCGTTAGTGGCATCGGCAGACGCCGCATTAATGTAAACCTTAATACCTCAATTCTCCACGTCTCATTGCAATGACTTAAGATATTCAGATACGAGGCGAGAAGCGTAAAAAACACAGTTATTATTTGGAAATCAGAATCGGAAAAGCGAAAGAGATGGAATTGAGGGACAAAATTGGCAGTGTCATGTAAGTAGGGGAATCTATAATACGGGTAAAAGCTAACCTGACGGCTCATAGGCTTGCTTTATATGGGTGCGACTTAAGTCAACTCTAAATGTAATTCATAAGTGCGTTTGTTAGCGCTGCTGATTTACCATACAGCTGAATTTTTAACTCAATCCTAAACATTTACATTCAGCTAGATCTGTAGACGCATTTTTACTTCACGCGCACTGGACGCATTGGTTGTACTGGTAACTGCAACACGATAAGACTACTGTCTATACTGCTGCAAGTTGGCGTCAAATAATGTGAAAGCAAACACTAGAAGAGTACAAAATTAAGAATGTTTTAGTTTGCCACCGCCTCCATATTTCCACAGCCACCAATCATGATCTTAGCCCTCAAGGTAGACACTGTTAATTCGGTTTTCGAGATGGCACAAAGCATTCGACGAAGATGGTGTATTTGCGTCTGACCTCCCAGCAGAAACGTCTACTGAAGCTTGATTGACACATTGTCCATGTGGTGGGTAAGAACAATGGGGTCAAGGCAGTGCTATGCGAATGCCTCAGCACACAATTAATGGGCTGCGAAAAGACAGTGTCGCAAGATATTCAGCAGTGATAACTGCTCTCCCGTGGTATCGCCTTCCACCACGCTGGCACAATGTTTCGCCTTAACAGGGCTCATCACCTTCTCTAACTTCTTTCACATCCAGCAGCATCTCAGTCACAAAAATGCACTTATCTGTCTGCGACATTAGCTCACCCACCTACGTGTGATCGTATCTCGCAAATCGATGACCAAATATTTTGATGCTCGCGACAACTTACACAAATCTGATATACTGCTCATTAACTTGATTCGTGGTGATGAGTGTACACTGATGGAGTTCTGTTTATTTAGGCTCCGGAAATGTCCGAAATAGTGTGCAGGCATGCTCGCAAAAGTTGAATACATCGACATCGCTCAACGAAAGAATACAAGGGTAAATGATTTGTGTGGCAACAAGTAAGAATAAAGGTAAAATCGAGATATTGCAACGACTGAAGGAGAGTTATGGCGTAAGTAGAAGGCAGAAATTAATGTGAATTATCAATGTTCAAGTATTCGCATTCGTTAATAACTATGGCGCAGTGGCGTCAAAACAAGCTAGCCAATGTAGGTTGATCAAAGTGTTAAAATGGGCAAGGCATCTAGGAAGTGAACGTTTTCTGAAACAACAAATCATCACTCGCCAGAAAATTGTCAATAGGCGTTCATACTAATGGGAGCTGAGTAGGACTGCTCTGTCAAATTTCGTCATTGAGTTGCGGCACTGGGAGTCTCCAACACACTCATTAACGAAACCCATTAACTGATTCCCCTTTTAACCAACCCCAAAACAGTACAAGTCATGTCCACGTGAGGGTGGTAATCCGTGGCAGTGTGGCATTGCATATGGAAGGGGCAAAATCGCCATTAGGCAAAGGTGGACGATATTGTCACAAGCTAGCATCTATTAAGTGTGCACGAATTCAAACCTGCCCTATGGCAAAAACCGTTTTTGTATGTAGTTTCTAACATGCCCAGAGCAATGATTGACCGGTGATGGATTCCAGCGCAACGGTCTTAACGCTTGCACATAGATTGCACATCGTTGAGCAGCTAAAGAGTGTGCACAAGGCCATCCGGTGACGTGTATCTCTTTCATCTCCCTGGCAACATCACTGTGTTCGCGTCTAGTTTGTTAGTAAACATTGGGACGCAGCCCCCATGCTGTTCTTGTTTTCGCTATTATGCGATATATATTGTCATCAATATAGAAAATTCACGCTGAGTGGGTTTGGCAAAAGCATAATATTAAATAAATGAAGGACACAGTACACAAGTATAATGCGGATATCAGTATGTGTGTGTGTGTACACTGGCGCAAGTCATGCGCACAAGGCATAAAAGCGCATGAAGTCAATGTTGGCGATGTCGGCGGAGGCGACGGCAGCAATGGTGTTGGCAGAGGGGGGAGGAGGAGGCGGAGACATGCTCATACTACATGTCGTCTGAGATGTATAGTGAAGACATGGTCAACGCACCTCGGTTTATAGCCACATGAGCATCAAGCATCAGTGTCTCAAGGGCCTGATAACCAAGGTGACGACATGCCTTTCGAGCCTGTTGCAGGACCTCACCTAGGCGTTTGAAGGCTCTCAGCAGATGGCCTTCGTCGGCACCAGATTTTCCTGCCACTACTGACAACGCTTCACTACGTGCCCAGGCATAAGTGGCTTCTACAAGCCCTGGATTCACATGGAAGTCGATGTCACCATTATCTACGCCTGTCCATGCCGAGGAATATTTCAGCTGCAAGACATAAGGCAACTATGAGATTCTGCAAAACAGTTGTATGAAAGGAGCGAGTCCAAAGAAGAAGGTGAAGACCACGGGTATGTGTGTGTGTGTTTGCGCACTAATTAGCCCTATCACATGGCACACGAGACAACATCTGGCAAGCACGCATTCTTAATGAACTCAAAACATTACCACGGTTAAGCGTGTCACAGCGGTTACAACGTGCACTGAAAATCGGTACTTTGCTGCCATAAGCGTCAGTAGTCACCTCCTGCAATTGAATCTGTCAACAAATGCCTACCTCACTCGCCAGGTCCAGCAACTGCGCTACGGCCGACTGCAACCGAGCAGGAACAAATGGCCTGCTCCTTTCACATTGGCTGTCCCAAACGAAGCAGGAGAGCAGGGCGGCTGCTTCGGCGGGTGTTCGGTGATTTAGCAATCCATGGCAGAGTGCCTCGCACAACAGCACTTCTTTTTGGTCAATTTCACAAGCTGCTAAGCCTAAAGCACAGACAAAAACATCACAAATGCTGAAAACAACTGTAAAACATTCGACGTCACGCGCAGCTCAGACATTCCAGAGTAATGCAACTTGATGCGTACGTCAAAGCCTAGTGAATGTGGCATTAAGTGAATGCCACATGTGGCACACGAGATGCAATGACGAACCTTTACGTGTTAGCTGCGCAGGTCCCTCGGTCCTCCACTTCAGGTAACCCAACCTCCTGAGCACAATCACACGAGCCTTGTAGTCACGCAGCTGGGCACAACGACGCCTACACAAGTCACAGATCAGGCGACCGAGCGTGGATTGCGCCTGAACGTGTTTGTGCACGAGACACAGGTGACGGATGGGGTCGGGGCATTGAGGTGGACTCAGCGCCTTCACTAGAGCGGTCAACTCATCCACCGCTGGACACTGAAATGAAAGCGGTGCGCAAGTACGTCAGTAATGCTGCTGCTGCTGCCGCTGCTGCAAATGCGTACGGCGTAGTGTGAGTGTCAACACCAAACTTGCCAAGAGTGATGAACAATGCGATTCATATCAGTATTCGTGGTACTAGTCGCAAAATTAGTGGTATTAGTAGGAGTAAGTGCAATAGTAGAGGTGGATGCAGAAGTATCAGCGGCAGTAGTAGTAGTATGCAGGACATGCAAGTGAATGCACAACACGCGGTGGTGAAGGCGAGGGAAAGGGGACACACCTGCAGACCGAGGAGTTGCCAAAACGCCACGCCCTTGTCTTGGTCAGAGAGACACTTCTGCGCATACTCTAACAGCCGTTTACTGGTCGCCATGAGCTGACGGGCCCGGGTCACTGCGCAACGTGAGCCATCAGGCTCCTCGCCCATCCCATTCGTGTTGGCGTGTGTGCACGGATTTTGTTTTCGACG